GGTCACCACTGTCCGGACGCGTCTGGTCACATTTTCTCAAGTCTGGACCCTTACTGGAGTCGTCCGGTCACACGACCTTCCAGCGTCCGGTCACACCAGACTTGTTCTCCTCAGTCAAATGAACTGACCGGACCCTGTGGCCAGCGTCCGGTCGCACCGGAGCCAGCGTCCGGTCAGTATTTGACCCTTCATTCACTTTCAACTTTCAATCATATGTGAATGAAGTTAGCTCCAAAGGATTTTAGGCATTCATAGGAGCTACCTAGAGCTAGTTTTAATAAGTGTGCACCACACCTAACTCACTAGACTCAACTAGGTCAAGCTACCCGTTCATACCCCCCTTCATAGAACGGTCAAAGGAAAAACAAAGTCCTAAACTACTCTAAGTGTCTCTCTAACTTCAATTGACACTTAGAACTAGTTATCCTTAACCTTGTCGTCCATCCTTTGAAAACCGAAACGATTTCCATCGTAGGGGCATGACAACCTCGATTGCCCAATCGATCTCCATTACCATGACCTAACTTAATTGCCTCTGCAAAACACACGTTAGTCATAGTAATCTTGTATTGACATTAATCACCGAAATCCACTTAGGGGCCTAGATGCTTTCAGTCTTGATCACCAAAACAAAATGGCCCTATCACATATACCTTTGCCTTAAGCCCATTTAATTTTTCTCTTTCTTCTTTTTCAAGCCTGAGCACTTGATCATCTCTATGGCCATCACCATCATCACGATCATCATCATTTGCTCCACAACTTGGAATGTGCTGCCCTATCTCATGATCACTTAGAGCAAAGGGTTAGCCCTTAGAGTTTCATCAATTCACCAAAACCAAACTAGAGCTTTCAAAGGTATAGCTTGTCTTATTTTGGGTCACTATTTTTGACTTTTTAATAAATGTTCCTACAATTGTCAGATAGTCATGTTTCCCGGCTCATATAGTGAGTTATGTAATAACTTGCCCCTCTAGTTGGGAGCTTATGCAATGCTTGTTCTAATAATTTTCCTAAGGTTGCAGGTTGCCTTGTTTTGTGTCGCTACCCTCATCTTTTAATAAATGCCTCTAATTGGCAGTAAGCCATGTTTTCTGGTTTTTTTTTAATGTGTTGTATAATAACTTGCCCCCTAATTGACAGCTTATGCAATGTTTATTGTAATAATTTGTCACTCCACGTTGCAGCTTGTCTTGTTTTGGTCCACTATTTTCTTTAGGGGGTTTTAGTACCTTTATGTAAATACTATATAATAAATTTATTATACTCCCATGGTAACATTTAATGTGTATACCATGTAAAAATTTTAGTATATTTTTGGAGTAGCAAGTTTTGTATTACATGGTAGCAACTTCTTTCATAAATCTCCTAGCACATTTTTGCACATAAATTGCTACTAAAATAAAAAATTTCGAAACATAGGCAAGTGGGCTCTAGTTTTGTTCGCCTCATCATGTAGAATATACCGGTGCAAACAAAATTTAAAACGGATATATCATTCAAAAGTTATAGGTATTTAAATAAAATGTTTTATTTTTTCTTCTGTCAGCATGCATGCATGCAATGTCAGAAGGGGGGGGTGTTGGTTTGAGGGAGTGGGAGTGGGTCGACAGCATGTGGCTGTAGACCTTGGGTCGCGCACTTCCCCGGCAGCGCGACAGGTCGCGCTTTAACCCCACCTTGGAAAAAATCCATTATACTTCTTTGAACTATTGCCACAATATCTTTTTGTCCTTATTAAATTCTAAATCCAAACATCGTACCTCCTGATGTATCAAAACCGTTCAAATTACCTCGATGATGTAGTTTTGAGCAATTTTGAAGGTGTTTTATTCATTGTTTTAGTTTAAAAAAATCAGTAAGTACTTGATAAGGTTTTCAAACTACACAAAATGTCTCTACGCTTTTAGAAAACCCAACAAAAAATCTGGAGATATATTGAGATATGAAAATCCAAATAAAATATTTATAGCTCATGAAATAACTTTAGATGCTTCAAAGTAACACCTCTGCGCGTTGTTCCGGGAACTACTGATTTGGAATGACATTTAACTATTTACATAATTCTTAGGAAGAGATTAACTATTATAAACTAGGGAAATTTTGCTCAGGGACACTGAAGAATGGCGTTATTTGCCGTCGGACACCGCCAACTCGCTTATTAGCTCAGTACCATTATGAATCACGGTTTATTTGGCAGAAGACACCGCAATCATTACTTTACTCTTTTCTATCATTTTGGAGAGAGAAAATTTTGAAAATGATGCTCGATGCCCCTAGTTGAACCAGACCGGTCAAAGGCACATATCCCCTTCTTTCTCTCTCTGCGCGATGGGCCAAGCAGTCAGCGACTCCGGAACCTTCTTCCTCCTCAAGCTGACGCCACCTCCCTTTCCGTCCACGGCAAGACGACATCGAGCCGGCATCCCAGCCCACCGCGCGCCCTATCTCTCGAACCCGACAGAGATCAGCACGCCCCGCCATGTCCGCGCCCTCACTCCGCCTCACCTTCCTTCTTCCCCCTTCATTTTTTTCTTCTTGCGAAATCTCCGGCCACCATTCCTTCCATGGCCGCCTCACCGAGAAACCCTCCCGCAGGCCTCTGCCTCTAGAAGACCGCGAGAGCTCTGCGTGTGTGCGATGTTGTCGCCTTGCCACTACCCATGGCCTCCATCCCGCTCTAGCGCCCACACTCGCTTTGCGCCGCCGCCATTGTCGAGCTCGTCCGATCTCCGCACACAGCTTCGGCGGCGGGGTCGCCAGCTTCTTTGGGATCCGCGAGATTCTCCTCGTCGAGACGCCAGGAGCGAGAACAGGAGAGCTTCGGCGCCAAGTTCATGGCGGCCGGAGCTGGGCTGGGCGATTCGACGGGTGGGAGAGCTCCGGGGAGGAGCAACGGGAGCGCTTGGGGCTGGTGCCACCGCAGCCGCCCAGCGGAACCCAAAGGCGCCGACGACGACATCTGCGGTCGCCATCGCCGCTGTCCCGCCTCGCCTGCCGGGACATGCCGGCCACCGCCGCCGCCGAGGTCACTGTCGACACCTCCACCAGCACGCACAGCGGTAAACATCTCTCTCTCGGTCACCAGCAGGATGTTGCCGATGGCCATGAGCTTGACGTCGAGGCGGACTTCGCCTTCTGCTCCTCAGCTTCCATGGCTGTCTGCGGACCACGGCCGTCGCGGACCATGTTCAAGGACGGGGTGGCCCCAGACGCGGTCGTGCTAAACATGGCCATCGCGGCGTGCGTGCAGGCAGGGCGCTGGAGAGGATGGCACGGGAGGACGGAGTGCGGCCAGACCACTGCTTGTTCTCAGCAAATACACGAGCTAGGGGCAACTTTGTCCATCCACTGCTTGTAGAAAAGATTAAAATAATGGCCACGGTGTCTTCTGGCAAAAAACAGCGATTCATAATGGTACTCAGCAAATACACGAGTTGGCGGTGTCCGGCAGCAAATAAAACCTTTCTTCAGTGTCCCTGAGCAAAATTTCCCTATAAACTAATATTAGTGGATAGCGTGGCCCATCGATATGGATAACTAAATGTATGTTAGTGGATGATGTGTCTCGCTAACGTTGATATCATAATTGCTTGTGCTAGTGGACTTTAATTGCAAGTGATAGTGGACTGCTGAGGTGGACACTTTGCATGTCAAGATAATATTCTAGTGGGATTTAGAATTATAAGAGATATAAATTTGTGCCATACAAATTTTCTTAAACAAGTTTATCCATTGATCGCAATCATTTTGGCATTTTCTACTTATTTTTCCATTTTCATAAAGATAAACCTATTTTTGTATGGAGAGGTAACTGCTGCAAACTAGGATAGAGAGGTAACTTAATTTTTTTTTAGAGTTCAAGGGGTAAGATTGTCTGATTTTAAAGTTCAAGGAGCAAATTCAAACTATAACTATAGTTCACAAAGGTAGCTAGAATGGACGTTTTCCCTTTCAGCGTCCGCCCTGTGAAGCCATAGTTGTAGTGGGCCTAGCATCTTCGCGTATTTTGGTGATCCAACGAGGCGCAGCATCTGCCGGACCTGGACAAATCAGGCACGTGCAATGCCCATGACCTTCGGCACCTTCTAAGGTCATGTTTGTTTATCTTATAATCCATCTTTTTCAGCTTGTTTTTCAGCTGGAATAGTGTTTTTTTCTCACAACAAATCAGCCGGAATAGTATTTCGGCTTGATTTTTCAGCAAAGCGAACGGGGCCAAAATTGTGCAAAAGGAAAAAATGGTTTCCACCGGGTGTCAAGAGCCTGCCTGCTGCCTGTGCAACATCACGAACAGTAGAGGTGGGGAGTGGGGATAACATAGTAACACATCAACAAAAGACAACATTCATACGCAAGGGCGAAGGTATATGTTAAGTTTATGGGGTGCAAATGCACCCCACAAAAAACATGTAAAAACAGTGAGTTTGATTAAAATTATCAGTGCATAATCTAACCTGAAAGGTTTCCTTGTTCCAACGTGTAAATAGTACTTGAACATCGCTGTTGACTGTTTGAATCACTTAGGGTTTTTAATAAATTCTTTGGTTTTTCAATTCATGAATAAAACATTCCGGCCTCGCACATACATGAATGAATGACTATGTGCCAATCAATAGAGACACAGGTACTCAGACCAAACTCCGCAAACAAAAATAAAAGAAGGGTAAAAGCTCAACATTGAACCGACCCGTAACTCACGACAGATCAAGCCCCAATTCAAGACTATTCTGGCCACCTGAAATTTCCAAAGAATTGTAAAACCACAACTTCAGCCGACGATGGCATTCCTTCAGTAGTTCAGTCCCAAACAAGCATTCATATTATTCAGCAGGTCAGGTTTTCTGGCACTGTCTGTCGATGAGCATTGTTGTGGTAATAAGTTGTGCAATCATAATCTTTTCTCTAGTCTATCTTTAGCCTGCAACAGAAAAATAAACAAACGAAGCTAAGGTTGGATGAAAGGGGAAAAGGAGATAAACAAGAAACAACATATGCAGCTAGCTTGTCCACCTGCATCGCCGTTGGTAGTTGATCTCGATGGTGGGACGATTGGGATGGATTTCAGTCACATGCATCAGCGTATCCTCTGCGTCAATCTTGCTAGTTTTAACATTGTTGAAGCAAATAGCAATGTTCTGAAGTGTTGACAGGTTCCCCAGGCCCATATCAATGATTTCTCTAGACGTGCACATAGGGAAGGTGAGCTCAAGACTTGTGAGCCGTGGCATAGCTCCTTGCTTGAACACCACAGGCCCTCCAAATTCCCGCAACAAACACTGTACAAGGCATGGGAATGAATAAGCACCAATGAAAAATCCCCGATGGATTATGAGATTACCATGGTCCACTTTCAGATTCAGATAGTGGAGAGCCGGTAACGTCCCCAGGATTTCGAGATCTTGCTGCTGCAATTTTCTCACACTGATGCATAGGAAGGCAACATCTAGAAGAAACTTGTGATTCATCCAAGCCGGCAGATTAGAAAACCAGCAACCAGTTAGGTCCAATTTACGGAGATGTCGAGGTGCAACCCAGGCACTTAAGTTGCCTCTACCGTCTGATATCTGAAAGGACAGAGTCTGTATTTTTTGCAGCTTGCTCAGGGACTCCACCAGAGATTTCTCCAAGCAGTCGTTCCATTGTGTATGACAGACAATACACAGCTCCCTTAGTTCAGTTAAACGGCCCAGCTCTTTAATATTGTTTCCAGAGTCGTTGATGCCAAACCTTGAAAGCTGTTCAAGGGATGTTAGTTTCCCAATCCTTTCTGGCACTTCTATCCACCTGTCGAAGTGTAAGGATGTCAAATTCCTTAGCTTAACAACCTCGGTTGGCAATCTACGAAGATTGTGATTGGCAGTAACATCCAATGTTTGTAGAAATACAAGGTTCTTTATTGCTTTGGGGAGCTCAGCAATGCGTGTACATCTTAGTCCCAGGTACCTCAAGTGCCGTAATTTCCCAAGGTACTTAAGGCTGCACTCTTGTGAAAGGTCACAACCTGGTAGATCCAGTACACGTAAAACTCTGAATTTCCCAAGGGATGGCATCTTGCCAAGAGTAGAGTGAACGAAAACAAGTGACCTTACTTGATGCAAGCTCCTAGTAGCCTGAGTTGTAGCAAGATCCACCTTGCCATACTGAGCGCATAACCTCCGAGCCTTATGTGATGGAGATTTGAGATCCACATCATTCAATATATCAATAAAATTTTCTTCGCTTGACAAGGAACGGATCAGGTCAAGCACCATATCATGTAGGCAACATTGTTCAATCACCGTAGAGTACTTGGTGTACACAGGTTGAATCATACTTCTGTTTATGAGCTCGTGGAAGTAACTCTCTCCAAGTTCAAAGAGGCCTCGCTTCTTTTGTTTCTCACATCGGATAAAACCTTCAGCTATCCACATTTTTATCAGACGGTCTTTGCTAATTTTATAGTCCTCTGGAAACACACTTAAATATAATAAACATGTCCTTAGATGGTATGGCAGATCATAATAGCTAAATGACAAAATCTTTCTCATATTCTTCACATCGAGGCTATCCTCGAGTCCTGTACCAATGGAGTTGCACACGTTACACCACTCCGTTTTACTCCTTCCTTTACTACGTAGCAGACTAGCTATTGAAATAATAGCTAATGGTACACCGGCACATTTCTTTAGCATTGTATGTGATACTTCGGCCAGCTCCTCGGCCAGGTATTGTTTGTTATCATTGTTGTTGTTTTTCTTCACTGCCAAATATTGTATTGTACAATAATTTTTGGAATCATCAGTAGAAAGCGGTTTCATCTTGTAAGATCCGCCAATTTGTTTGGCAACATCGAAATTAAGTAGTTAGTTATGATTATTTTGTGTCCATTACTATCAGGCAAAGCACATTTAATAACTTTCCAAACTGAGATATCCCATATATCATCAAAAACAATGAAATACCTGTACATATAGAAATTCCAAATCATAGTCATTATAAAGATTTAATTAAATTGGGGTGGAAAGTTCTGACAAAAATTTGCTGATATGTCCTGGTATATAAAGTAAGAAAACAAGAACGTTTTTACAAACATAATGATATCTAGCTAAGAGAAACTTCTTAGATTTACAATACTGATTTTGTAATACTATACAATATATTGCAAGAGAAACTGAGTTTTTACTCTACTTTTGAAGGACATTCCCCTCTCACAAAATACCCCTTAAATTGAAGCAGGGAGTACATGTGTGATATTTTCTAATTAACTTCTTAGACTTAAGTGGCTCCTTTGTCCACGCCCCCCCCCTGCCCCGCCCCACCAATATAACAAAATGGAGGATGAATAGTAACATTGTTGACAAGAAGAAGAAAGCTTCATATGAAATTTATGTCTAAAACTGTGTGATCCTTGCATACCTCTTCTCTTGAAGGAATTCACGAAGTTTATTAATAAGCCACTTCTCATTCATTTCTTCATCATTGATTCGGATGCTAAGTTCATAGAGCAGGCTCCGAAATAGTTTCACCATGTCAGGAGTTTGAGAGATGGAAACAAAAGCCCGGCAATCAAATTGTGCACCAATCTTTTCATATACTGCTTTAGCAAGAGTTGTCTTCCCCAGCCCCCCGAAGCCAACTATGGAAACTGTCTTGCCACACAGCATGAATACATCATCATCCCTTCCATCAGAATCTTGATTAGGTCATCTCTAGCCGCCTCTATGCCAACAAGCTCTGTCGCCTCCTTGTATTGAGCCCATAAACGAGGATCAACAGAGACTCTTACAGGCTTAGCTACAACACTGTCAATTCTGTACCTATGACGCCGTTCGCACACCTCGATTACACACCTCTTGATGCTCCTGATTTCAGCAGCAATGTTATGACGAATCTTTAATTGTGCTAAAAAAATCACAGCACCTGTGGATGAACATCCTGAAACCATGTGCTCCAATTGGTCCATGGTCCTTCCTACGTACCATCAGTGCATCTATACAGTCCTCAATGTCGTAGGACAGCTCTCTCACATCTCTAGCCCAAATCTTGTCTTGTTTGTCAAGTTGCTCTGGCGGCATCTCCGAGATCTTCTCAATGGCGCCCTGCATGCTCTCGAGCTCAACTTGGAGGAACATGATCCCACTCTTCACACTCTTTTGCAATTTGTATCCACTGACGAGCAGATCAGTGAGCATGGGGAGGAAACGTGGTAGTGCCCCAGTCACCACCTCCATGATGGATCTATGTGAGTATCGGCCGCGTGCAAGGAGTAAGCTAAGGTTACTCTATATATGTTCAAAGACGCTGCCCCTCCCCAACTCAGCTCATCGATTTTATCACAAAAAAGCTCCTTGTTGCTGCCTTCGAACAAAGCGTAGAGCTAATAAATAAAAAATACATGAAGCGACAAAGAGAGAAAATTAATAGCAAATCAAAGAGGCTCGGTGACAAATAAAAAAAACTCCTTGTTGCTGTCTTCGAACAAAGTGTAGAGCTAATAAATAAAAATACATGAAGCGACAAAGAGAGACGATTAATAGCACAAGTCAATGAGGCTCGGTGACAAATAAAAAAAGCTCCTTGTTGCTGCCTTCGAACATGATTTGTTTTCCGACGCGTCTAGTAAGATTCGACTCAGACTTGGAAAAACCGGCTTAGCTGGTTTCTGCATCTACAAGGTAGAAACTTCATGACTGTAATTTCTTTATCCGATCTCCAAATTGGACGATTTAATTTGCACGTGTTTTTCGGTCATCTCGACGAGAGGAACACAATGTGAAGTTCATTCTTCAATTTGGATAAGTTTATAAAACTGGTTTAGCCGGTTTAGGGCGCTTAACTTGTTTTTTTGTTGGATGATTTTCCTAAAGTCACATTTTCTTCATCTAGACTTTAAACTGGATGATTTATTCATGTGTTATGATTGTCTCTCACGAGGAGGAACATAATGGTGCAGTCCATTATGCATTTAGACAAAGTACCAAAACTAGCTTAGCTGGTTTGGGAAACTAGCTAAGCCTGTTTGTGCTGAAAACTTTGGATTTAACCACTTTTGACAATTTTGTTTGTCAATATAGACCAAGTAAACATGTAGACATTAGGATCAATATTTCTTTTAGTAGCTTATCAAGCGAAAAAAATGTTTCCTTGACAAACAACATGAATATTGTTCCAAATTTGTTATGTCCAAGTGAGGATATGGCATCCTATATTCATGAGATTGATAATTCACTTTAGGTTTATTAATACTCCATGATAATAGATTCCACAAGTTGTCATTTTAAATGAATTTATATATTTGGACTCAAACATTATGTCATATCAATATAGGATTACTGGTAGTTTAATTTTAAATACTTATGTTTTATAAAATAATACTACTAAACATATAATTTTAACAAATTCAACATCTTAGTTGCCCTGTTGCAAGCTAAAACGATTGAGAGGGTGTTAGCGGCCGGATCAGAGAAGGGAAGGAGGAAGGCTTGGGCAGGAAGAAGAACAGGTGTAACACCCTAAAATTTGCAATAATTTTGAAATATGAGAAAATCATTAATTATGTATTTTTTGGGCATTTGAATTTAGGAAAATAATGAATTTTATCAAATTAAAATCAAATATAGGTTTACAACCATGTGTGTGCATTCATGCTGCTGCATAATAATTTTTGAGTGGTGTGATTTTAAATCAAACTTCAAATAGTTTTGAATTTGCATTTTGAGATTTGCTTTGGAAAAGTTAGAAAAGGAAAAATGAATTTCCCTCCCTCCTTTCTCCCTTTCCATGTTTTTGGCCTGGTTGGCTTTTCCCCTATCCTTCTCACTCGGGCCGAAGCCCAGCATGTCGGCCTGCCTCTCTTTCCTCACTCGCGGGCCGTTCCCGTCCCGCGCTGGCCCATTTCCCTCGGCCCGCTTCCAGTGCCGGCCACCTCACTTTCTCCCGCGCCCGCTCCGCACGGCCCAGCAGCGCTGGCCCAGTTTCACCGAAGGCCCAGCCGCGCCATGTGTTTCTCCCTCCACCCTGCTGACGCACCTGGCCCACCCGTCAGGCATTCCTTCTACCTCCGTCTCGTGATCGGCTCGGACACCGTTGCCGCCGTCCATGTCCGCGCCCGCTACGCCTCGTGCGCCGTGCCGCCCAAGCATCCGCGCCTCTTAAATATCGGATGCCCCGTGCTCGCCGCCTCCAACCCTAGCTCCAGCGCCGTAGTTTTTGCCCTTGCTAGAGCCGCAGCCACCATAGCCTAAGCGCCGCCGTCAACCATCCCGAGCTGGCCGCCGTCGTTGATCTCCGCTCGCTTCTCTTGGTTCCGGTGAGTTCCCCACCCTCTCCTCTCTCTCCCCGTGTCACTGGTGAGTCAAACCGTGCTCTGTAGGCCAAGAACCGAGAGCTCCGGTGAGTCTTCCATGGCGCCGCCGCTGTCACCTCGCCGCCGGCCCTATTCCGGCTGGCCATGTTTTTTTCCTCACTAGCCCGATCGGATCTCAGCCACTCAAGTCTAATCCGACGGCCCCAGATGAAGGATACCCCTTCATTGGTAGTTTTGCAAAACCCCCCTTATAAGTATTTAAGTCTTAACCCGCGGTCCAAAGCGTCTTTCTAGATTTCGTTTTCTTTTTTTGAAAGCATACTTTGGTTCGGTTAGATCTAAAATACGTTTTCAGCTATTTACAGTTTTGCCATTAGATTTGTTTTAGCCATAAAATCTTCGTTTTAACTCCGATTTGATCCGTTTAAGTTACGTTAGGTTCGTAATTAAGTAATCTACATGTTTGTACTACTTTTTAAGTAGGTTTTCAACTTTTAAAATTTGAGGTTAGATTTAATCTATTATTTTACTAAAGGAAAACTTGTTTAATTCATAACTTCTTCGTCTTAGCTCCGATTTTTGTGATCTTCACGTCTGTGTGATCGTAGCGAGATGTAGATTCATTTTTCAAACTTTTCCTCTTGATTTTATGATGTTGGTGTACTATTCTAATCTATAGCTTTTGTTTGCTATGTATGATTGCTTCTAGATGCTTGTTGCTGTGATTATCGAGTATAGACGGTGAGCAGTTCGTGGGTGACCAAGAGTATTACTTTGACGTGCCGGATCAGCAGGAGTATTTTGCTCAAGGCAAGTATAGCATGGGATCATCCTTGTTTCCTATTTACTTTAATACATTAAATTCATGTTGCATGTGTCGCCTTGATAGGGATTCCCTAGAATTAAACTTTTATCTTGTCACCTACGGGATATGTATTGGGTAGCTTTGCTAGTGCTCAATTAAACCATGATCTTGTAACTTGACTAATGGTATATATGCAATAAATATTAAAATATGACTTTTTAGCAACTTGGAAACAGGGGGCTGAAGTATTTAGCTACTTTCTAAATGCTTCAAATTTCTCTCCCTAAGGACTTATCTATAAGTGATCATCCGGGACTTATAGTACAACTGTGAGGGCTACATGGCTCTGGCTTTAGCTCAGTATAAGGACCTTTTCTAGCTTGTTAGTGGTTACCTTTATTGATGTAAGAATAGCTTGCTGAATCAGGTATAGTGCGGCATTTGTTCCCATGTGTATAGGCTGCGTGTCAATGTGCCATCGGAAAGGGGGGCTCTATATCTGTTTGCCGAGTGAATCTAATGGCCCTAACTTGTTAGATGAACCTTTGAAAGGCTTTATAGTGACCCCTGCCTGCTCACCTTGGAAGTGTTTTAGGAGTTGCAAACCCGGGCATATGGGTATCACGACTCACAGTGAAAGTGTACAACCTCTGCAGAGTGTAAAACTGGTATATCAGTCGTGCTCACGGTCACAAGCGGCTTTGGAACCCTTACGGAATAGATGAACACTAAGAATTATCTGTTTATGCTATTCATTATTCATGTTTATATTGATCATGTATTTTGCATTGGGAATTAAAACAACTTGTTGCTACTCTTTAGCTAAAATTGTGACAACTAAAAGCTGAATGTTGTTAAACCTGTGTTAAGCCTTTTGAGCCTCATGAACCCCATGTTACACTTGTTGAGTACGACATGTACTTACGCTTGTTTATTTTTAATATTTGGATAAAAATCCTGGATGGGTAACAGATGGCTATGGTAATGATGATTTTCCTGAGGATTTCTAGATTTGTGGTCAACCAGTCGACGTCCCTGTGATATGGAGCTTCCGCGAGAGATCTTTTCTTTATACTTCCGCTATATCTATGTGAAGACTCTGTCTTAATATTCGTGATGTAATAAACACTTGTGATGATACTATTCATAATTTGTCGGCTTATATGTGTGACTAATCTCTGGGCGCACATAAGATTTTTCATCCCATTTTATCCTTAAAATCGGGTGTGACAGATTGGTATCAGAGCTGTGTTGACTGTAGGATGCAAGCCTAGTTAGCAATGGTCGTTTTAGCTTCTTTTGCTTCACTCATTTCATGCTTTCCATCTCACCGTTGCTATTTGCTAAAGTTTTATGCTTCTTTTGCCTTACTCTATTATGAACATGAGAGGAAGGACAAGTTCTTCGTTTAGAGTTTAGAAGAGTGTTTACAATTCGATGATCCTTCCACTCTTACAGTTGGACGCCTAAATACATCATATATTTGGACCACTCTAGGCCGAACAGCATACGGTTGGGCTCAGTCTTCCTCTTGGGCCATGCGGCCTCGATAGCTTCTTGTTTATCATTGGAGCCTAGTACCTCTTCAGTTGGAGTAGCTTTGCCATCGCTGACATTCCCCTCGTCTTGAGCAGCGGCGTGCCCCCACGCCGGTGCTCACGAAAATTGCTGTCGCAAGGCTTCTAGTGGCTCCCAGGTAGACAAAGCCGGTGGCATGTGAGACCAACGCACCAGCCCCTGCTCCATAGGATGATTGCCACCGGTCGAACGCTTCTGAAGAACAGCGATAGGCACCTAAAATTAAGTGAGATCAGAGGGCAAAGCAGCAACTGCAGAATCCGAACCTGCGACTTCTTCAACTGAGAAACGTGGAACACCAGGTGGATAGACGATGATGATGGCAACTCCAAGCGATAGGCCACATTCCCGATTCGCTCCAGCACACGGAAAGGCCCGAAGAACCGGAAGGCCAGTTTCTAGTTGGAGCGAGGAGCAAGCGAACTCTAAACATATGGTTGAAGCTTTAAGAACACAGAGTCACCAACTTGGAAACTATGATCTAGACACCCCTTGTCTGCTTGATGCTTCATGCGCTGCTAAGCACGAAGCAAATGTTGCCA